ACTCAAGTGGCTTCTGCCAACAGAATAAATTAATAAATTGTAGTGTATTCACCTAATGGAACACTACAGCGATGGGAATAAATGAAATAGAATTACGTACAACATGGAGCGATCGTGCAAATGGAATGTGGACAAACTTTACAAGCACAACGTGTTACAAAAGAAGTCAAGCACAAAAGGGTATATGCCGTTTCATTCCCTTATTTAAAATTCAAAACAGACAAACCAAACTATGGCATCAGAGGTCTGGATTACAGTCATCCCTGGGCACGGACATTAGAGACTGAAAGGGGGCATGAAAAGATGAGGGGTATGGGATGCTGACAGTGTTCGGTTTGTGAAAACCTGTCAAGCTTTAAACTTCTGTTTTGTGCACTTTTCAGTATGTTTCTTCTAATACAAATCCCACCAACTAACCTTTATTTGTCGTGTAGAGCAGGAAGCAGTGAGAAGGAGAAGTGAGAACGTTAGCTTTCTTTACGTGAAGGGAATAGTGTATAAAATCTTAACGGAAAAGCGAACAGGAGCTTTTCAGGTACAGAGTAGTTGGATTCATAGCTACCTTGCCCAATAGCCCGAGAAAGACACTGCCTCTGATTCTTATTTTAAAACCAAAGGTTGTTATGGCTCTTGGTCCAAAGAACAGTTTGCATATACTTGACTCCCTTTCCCAATTTGCTGAAATAGGTAGAGTGAGAATATTGTTAACTAAAAAGGTATCACCTTGGCCCTGGCTGGTTTTGCTCAGCAGTTAGAGCACCAGCCTGCAGACTGAAAGGCTTAATTTTTTTTTTTATCCTCATCCGAGGACATTTTTCGATATTTTGTTCAGATAGAGTGGGAGGGAGGGAGAGAGAGAGAGAGAGAGACGTCGACGTGAAAGGGACACATTGAGTGGTCGCTACCCACATGACCCAACCAGGGCCGGGGACAAACTGCAACCCAGGTACGTGCCCTTAGCGGGAACTGAACCCGGGTCTCTCTGGACCGCAGGACGACGCTCTAACCACGCTCTAACCACTGAACCAAACCGGCCGGGGCTGAAAGGCTTATTTGATGAGACCTGGAAACTTCAGCTCAAATAAGTGTATGACGACAGAACAGATTTTCACCCTGACATGTAGGCAACAAAGTAAAAATCAAAGTATAAGCAGAGATGCCACAAAAACTATCCATACTAGAAAAATCTCAGACACTTCCTTTTGCTAAAGATTATCCTGCCCTCCCACTAGATCTATTCATTTAATCATCAATTCATTTCCACGTTTACTGAACAACCACTTATTGATTTTCCACGATGTGCCTGAAACAGTGCTGGACACTGGGGACACCCGGGAAGCCAAACGGTCCTGCATTTTGGGAGCTTCCAGGGAGATGCAATGTTCTCGTTAAAGTGATGAATGAAACCGGGGTGCAGGATGTGATCAGGGGGCCATCAAATGAGTACATCCCCGTGCAGAAAATTTAGAAATAAATGTCACTGTGAAGTCTGAGAAAGATAAAATTCTGTTTACTAAAGACATTTCAAAACATCAGCCACTCAGAAAGACTTTTATTAAGATCCATTAAAATGAGCATTTTGGAACTCGATCATCTCACTTTGTTGGAAAATGCATTCATGCAACATGCTTCTGTCCACAGGGGTAGCAGGTGAAGGCGATGGAATTGTGTGCACGTGTGTAGTTTACTGTGGGTGGGGCCTGATCGTCATACTGAATTCAGGTAAACTATTCTCTGTAAACAAGATGATGAAGGATGGAAAGAGGTCTATCAACGTTTATGATTTTTATTTATTAAATTTTCTCAGTGTGAAAAATGTGTGTCATAGAGAATTCGTTGGTTGCACCCTGCATTTTATTCTTATCTAAAAAGAAAGCCAATGGTGCCTTTCTCACAGAGGATTTGTTTGTATAGCCTGTTAAGCCATAAAACAGTCCCCTTGTAGCTATTTTTGAAGCAAAGTATACACAGTATGTCTTTTGTTGCTTGTTTCAAGTATGAATCTTAGATTTTGTGGGGAAGTGCTGTGTGAATCGGAAAAATCATGTTGTGTGTCTGCCCCTCTGGAGGCCTGGAATATCTGTAGATTTTATCGTCTAATTAATAATTATGTAGACTGTAAAATCCCCCAAAGACCTCTTCTGCCTCTCAAAAGTGGTTCTGATTTCTTATTCTGTCATGTGGATTGATATCTTATCTGAATTACGGTTTAACTGGAAAGAAGTTAGAGAATGGCAATGTGGGAATACATAAATGCCTTCACAAATGTTGATGCAAGCTTTCTTCTTTGAGAGCATCCCACTTGCATCATTCAGCAGATAATGTTTCTAGGCTGGTCTCCGTCTCCGTCTTCATAATATTACAAGAGCCCCAGGGGCGGTAGCTACAAGAACACAGAGTTATAAGTAGCCATATATACTTGTCTGTAGCAAGACATCTAATTCCTATAACCACCCCTCCCCTATTTTTTACTTCATATACAATGACTTAAAGGACTTACTTCATCTTGGCTTATCACCGATGCATATAGATACAGATAGATATAGATATAGATATAGATTAGATATAGATATAGATAGATATAAATATAATGTAAACAACTGCTCTATAGTCCTAATGAATTTTGTGTGGTGTTCCCAGCTAATAATTTAATTTATCTTAATATAATTTATTTTCACATAATATTTTGGTATACTGTGTTGCTTCTGGTTACATTTCATAAAATAAATTATTACTTCAAGATAAGCAAATACATAAAATTAAAAAGAATTCATCTTTACATATTAAATGACAAAGATAAGTTATTCCAACTTTGCTTTTATACTTTCCCTATATTATTTTTGTCCATGTTTCTAAAAATACATATAATGCAAACTAATGAATTATACAAAATGCCCAACAGCACACCATCTAATGATGCCTCACGAACCTAGTAAAAGTGAACATTAGCATTTTACAATACAATGTGTTAAAAGAAAAGTACCGAATCATATAAGCTTACTATTAAAGATGAAGAGTTTAGAAAAATACAATTATTTAAAGAAAATACTAGTCATCCCCATTGTTGCATACATAGAGGATTTGACAGTTTCTTCGGGGGAAAAAAAGGCAAAAATAGTCTCTGTTTGACACACTGTCATGAGGACAATATACATAATTTCAAAAGCTTTCACAAAAAAGGACAAGCAATCCAATTTGTCTATGACCAAGGATAATGCTGGGTTTATTTATATTTGAATAGAAAGACTATGTCCTGACTTTAATCCTCAATGTCTATGATTGTTTAACTTCTCTGCTTCTACGGCTGCAACCTGGTCAGCCCTCCCTAGCTGCTCTTCCATTTAAATTAGACCAGGAGTCAAAGGGAAATAAGGGGAGACATCTGTAATACTTTCGACATTAAAGATAAATTTTAAAAAATAAATTAGACCCGAGATATGCTTTTAGCCACCAGCTTGATTTCCTTTAGAATGCAACTCCCCTTAAAGCTTCCATCTGGTTTCCACTGTCCACCTTATGTTCCTTATATGCCTTAGCTCATTAACAAAATCAATTCAAGAAGCACACACATAAGCTGGGTACTGCACTGAAAGATATTTGAAAATAATTGCTATCTTCTTTTTCATGTTGTTCTGGGCTGCATTGTGCCCCTCTCCCTGCCCCAAATTCCTGTGTTGAAGTGCTAACCCTCAGTACCTCAGAGTGAAATTATATTTGCATGTAAGGGCTTTAAAGAGATAAGTTAAAACGAGACTGTAGGATGAGGCGCTAATGTAATATGACTGGTGCCCTTACAAGATAAAGGAGAGGCACAGGGATATGTGCACACAGAGAAAAGGCCACGCGAGCCTGTGATGAGAAGGTGGCCATTGACAAAAGGAGAGAGCCCTGGCCAGTTTGGCTCAGTGGTTAGAGCATCGGCCTGCGGTCCGGAGAGACCCGGGTTCGGTTCCCGCTAAGGGCACGTACTTCGGTTGCAGTTTGTCCCCGGCCCTGGTTGGTCCTGCGGGTGGCAGCCACTCGATGTGTCCCTTCACGTCGATGTTTCTCTCTCTCTCTCCCTTCCTCTCTCTCCCTCCCACTCTATCTGTACAAAAATGGAAAAATATCCTTGGGTGAGGATAAAAAAAAAAAAAAAAAATACATGCCCTGGCCAGTTTGGCTCAGCGGTTAGAGCGTCGGCCTGCGGTCCGGAGAGAGGTCTTGGGAGAAACCAGCCCTGCTGACATCTTGATCTTGGACTTCCAGCCTCCAGGACAGTGAGAAGATGAATCTCTGTTGTTGACACCACCTAGACTGTAGTATTTTGTCACAGCAGCCCTGGCAGGCTATGCCATGTATATTTAGTAGGTGTCCAAAGAAACCGATAGCATTGTAAAAACACCAGTTTGCTCTGAAGTTAAATTCTTAATCCAGAAAACCTAAGAACCAGCACAATAATGGATTTTGAAGAAATGCCCCCTCGTGCCCTTTTCTCTTTCTCTCTAAAATGAGCTCAGCTTCTGTTACCACCGCACAATGTTCTCTGCTCTTCTAGGCCAGTCCGGCTCCCTTCTCTGGACCTCCTGAGCACGTAGCTCTCAGCCCACTGGAAACAAATACATATTTAACATCGGAGCCTTGTTCTTATTCTGAACCTTGCTTTTAAAACCAATAGAAATCTACCTATTTGAAGCTGGTAAGGAAGGAAGACAGAGCCTCCTGCCCTGCTTGTTCAATCCACCACTCATTTTTCCTGCCTCTCATGTTCACAGTGGTGCCTGGGACCCCATCACATGAGACAGAGGTTTCAAGCCCCCGAATTATATTATCTGAAAACATCCTTACGAGACAAGATCTTTCATCTTAGAACCAAGGCTACACCACACACTTGAAAAAACACTTCCTATATTAGGATGATAGACAAAGAAGTGGACCAATAGTATAGCTTAGGGTACAGCCTTTAAAATGCTTATAAATGAATTTGAATCACATACTTTTTCTGACATAGATTAGTGAATCTAAGATGCACTGCTGGTGGAGCGGGGCTCTGCTCGGAGCTGGTACGGTGTGGGCTTCATGACTAAGCCATAGGTGGGCATCAGGTCCAGCTCGGCTCCGGGACATTTGCTCAGCTTGAGCTGCTGCAGAACTGTGACGATGAAGAGGAAGATCTCGTTTCGTGCCACATCTTCTCCGAGGCACTTCCGGATTCCCATTCCAAATATCAGGACCTTGTCCACAAGGCTTTTATTCAGCTCCTTGTTTTCGTTCAAAAATCTCTCAGGACTAAATACCCCGGGATTATCCCAGATAGCTCTGTATAAAATGGACAAAAGTTACATTTTAAAAAGAAATCATTTATCATGTTGCCATTCTTGCTAACTTCTCTGAGTTAACTTTGTTTTGCATGAAATGTTTTGTTCAAGTTTAGAATATTCTTTGTAAATTTTATATAATATGTATGTGCAAAAATATTCATACACATATACCTATGTGTGTGTGTGTGTGTGTATAATTAGAACAGTATCCCATTATTATGGATTTATTATGGATTATGTGTATAATTAGAACAGTATCCCATTATTATGGAATATAAAATTCTTTAATTTATTGACAAGTTTAGTTACCATAAAAAATTACTGTAATTATTCTTAGTTTTCACTAAAATGACTTCTGCTTCACTAAACAGTGAATAAAATACTTGAAAATTTTATTTCAATATTTTTACAATTTTAAATGAAGAGTTCTACAAAATTCTCATACAAATATACCAAACTCTTGGTATAAATACAAAGGAATAAATATTCAATCTCCTTTGCTTTATGCAAAATGAGCCACACATCTCACTCTGGGACGAACACGTTTAGGAAAAGACCTTCGTGTATCATCACAGACAGTGGCCAGGACCCCAGAAAGCGGCTCTGGACTGGGGGCTGTCCACAGCTTCCCAGCTGCTGCGCATCTGGCTCGCTCTCCGTCCTCCACCTCTGGCTTTTCTGTGACAATCCCAATAGCACGTTTCCCAACTCACCCCAAGCCATACATCAGGGACCCACATGACTTTGCAAACAACTGGGCCGCTTTGTGTATTGATGTCACGCCTCTTTCTAGCAGAAAATGTGTTTTATTTCTGAGCCAGACTGGAGACCCACAAGTCGCACTCAGTCCTCCAATAAATTTTGTTTGCTCTCATAATCTTTTAAAAGTAACTCACTGTTGCTAAGATTTAAACCTCAGAAGATTCCACATGAAAATTTCCATTTCAAGTTCTGTGTAAGCTGATGACATTGGGACAATGTCATGCTTGCCCTCAGTTTACTGAGCTGAATTAGGTACAGCAGAGGACCTCTCCTCACTGCACCAACAGGGGTAATTCTCTTGTTTTTGGTATTTTCTGCTGCTCAGTAGGTACTTAAGTTTGTGACCTTTGCTGAAACGGAATAATTTCCCCATGATATCAAGTCTGAAATTACAAACTCATTTAGGTTAAATAAGTGCCTCTATACAAACAGCATTTCTTTTTGTATAAACACTTGTGTTAATACAGTTTGTTTGAACATTACTCAGTATTCAATATAATTACATGTTCTTAGGATACTAGGACATGTAGGGTAGTGCTAGCTGAGAAGTGCCATTAAATTTACACTGACTGTATTTTTCTTATAGTGGGTATTAATTTATTTATTTAGAGAGAATGAAAAGGATGGAGAGAGACAGAGAGAGAGAGACAGAGAGAGAGAGAGAGAGACACACACACACACATACAAATGAGAGACACACATCCCTTGGTTGCCTCCTGCATGACCCCAAGACCAACTGGGGCTGGGGATCGAACCTGCAACCCAGGTATGTGCCCTTGACTGGAATGGAACCTGTGACCCTTTGGTGTGAGGGCCGACCTCTAACTGCTGAGCCACACTGGCCAGGCTAGAGTGGGTTTTTAAATGCTTGGTTTTATGCAGCATGATCACTGGGTGTGAAGAACGGGAGTGTCAATCTTTCCGACAATAAATTTCATTTTGCTGGGTATGAAGGTGCTGTCAGCTACACGGGATAATCACTTCGCTCCCTAACAGCCTGTAGCATGAGACCTCAGCCAGAGGAAACCGGGTGAAGACAAAGCAGCCGTCCCGAGCGCTGCCTGTACAGCCGGCAGGGTGCGTACGAATAGTCTCCACCAGGTCACCGGAGAAGTAAGCCTGGACCACACAGAGCAACCATTTCAAACAGGATGCACACCCTGAATGAGGGTCCTGCTTCTGCTACTTGCTGAGCACGTGACTCTAGGCAATTCATCACCTGGCTGAAAGTTTCTTCAGCAGTAAAATCGGGATCATGGTGGGACCACTGCCGAGGAGATACTTCGAGATTTTGTGCCCCCCACACAGTAGAGTCTATGAATATTAGCTGCCACCTTCACATTCCCACCACCACTGTCCCCACCGCCACCGTCCTCACTTCCACTGTGCAGGTCTCTCCATCTCAGGCCTCCCTTTTAAACCCAACATGGATGAGACTCGAGCTGTATTTGATTTGCAAATATTTATTGAGTGGCCATTATGTGTCAGTCACTGATCTAGGTGCTGAGGTAAAGGAAAACCAAAGAAATAAAAAGCCCTGCTTGGCCCTGGCTGGTTTGGCTCAGTGGTTAGAGTGTCCATGGACACAGGAGTCACCAATTTGATTCCGGTCAAGGGCAAGTACCTCGGTTGTGGTTTGTCCCAGGCCCTGGTCAGGGTCATGCGGGAGGCAGCCAATTGGTGTGTTTCTCTCACGAGTGTTTCTCTCTCTCTCTCTCTACCTCTCCCTCCCACTCTATTTGAAAATAAATGAAAAAATATCCTCGGGTAAGGATTAAAAAATAAATTAATTAATTTTAAAAAGTCCTGCTTGGTCTTTCACATTCTGTTGAGGGATTTCTCACTGCCTTTCAAACATTAGCTGGCCCTGACCCACCAGTGCGTGAGTCCTTGGCCCACACCTCCCTCCATAAACCCGCTTTTGAAACTGGATTTGCTCTGAATGAATTTGTATTAAGATAGCATCCTTCCCATTATCAGTGAGGAGAGAAAACTGAATTTCCTTCCAACTTCTATCAAGAGAAATAGAAGGAATGAAGTTTGGTTAAGAATGTATATCTTACCCTGATTAATAAATAGCAAACAAACAACCAAACAAATTTAACCACCCAGAATAATTGTGGTGACTTACTCATCATGATTTACTTGATACATGTTAATAAAGGTGCACGTATTCCTGGGAATGAAATAGCCATTCAGAGTGGTGTCTGCGGTGGTACTGGGAAAGCAGAATATACCATTATCATTACACACATCCTGTGAATTCAAATCCATCCCTAGCCCTGCTGGTGTGGCTCACTGGTTGAGCATTGACCCATGCACCAGAAGGTCGCTGGTTCAATTCCCAGTCAGGGCACATGCCCAGGTTGTGAGCCAAATCCCCAGTGGGGGGCATGTAGGAGGCGGCCAATCGATCTCTCTCATTGATGTTTCTATCTCTCTCTCCCTTTGTTTCTCTCTAAAATCAATGAAGAAAAGAACATTTTTAAAAAACCAACAAATAACCATCCCTAAACTGCCACCTACAACTCACAGGCTATATTTGTTAATGTCTTTTTAAAAATGATAATGATGTGTAGTCTTTATAAATCTTCATCTTTCATTAATTGATACATCTTCCACCTATTCTCAAATTAGTAATTTATTCTTCTTCTTAAGTTGGTAAAACATACTGAGCACATTAACGTATTTAAGGTATTGCTATGAGCTAAAATCTGAGTGGAAAATTATCTCAATATTTCTATGACAAAATTGCCCATAAGTAGATAGAAATTTATATCAGAAATCTATAAGGAAATTATAAAGCACTTTCTGTGTACCCAATATATGTCGGCTTTCATCAATAGATTAAGAAAACAAAACATAACATCTTTTAGCACTTGCTAGAAGGACTAGTGGAATTGGAACTAAAAAACCTGAACTAGAGACACTGCTCACAGTGAACTACAGGGCAAATCTCATATCTTGTCTATGGTTTCATTTCCTAGCTATGAAATGATATTGTTTGTATTGGATGATCTCTAAATTTGTCTCTAGAGTAAATAATCTATTCTTCTAGTCCCATATTCAAACTTCTTTATGCAAACTATACACTCCTGTCCTTTATACCTCTGAAACTGTGCAAGAGTCAGATTAAATCACGTTGTTTCCATATGGTGCTCCCTAACTTGCCCGATGGTCCCGACACGCACTTCTGCCCCAGAGAAGCACAGTGACATTTCAACTTGATAAACACATTTGGCTTAGCCACTTCTGGGTTCTCTCTTCTGATGTGCCAACCTGTAGAGAAGGTACATCTCATCTATAGTCATTAATAGGCTGAGCTTGGAGTAGCAGACTTCATACCTCCAGGGGAGACTGCTGTTGTCCAAACTTGCCAGAGACCGAGAAGCAAAGTGTGTCTAATTCAGGTGAGAAGTATGAGCAAGCCTACTTGGTTCAGCTCTAAGTCAAACTGTGTAAACTAGCTCTGATCATCAGGAAAGCTTGTGTTTGAATTTTTACCTCTCTATGTTTATCTAGTAGCTGGCATTGAACTTTGGCAAATAAGGATACTATTCATTGGGTGCCTTTAAAATCCAATGAAGGGAAATGCCAAAAAGGAATAAATCTTTTTTTTTTAAAGATGACCTCCTCCTATGCATGGTCAGTTGCCCATCTCTGTGTATTCAGCTGCTCTACTATCCTACGTAAAAAGCTACATGCTCTTATTTTATGGAAAACTAGCATGTAAAATGTGATTTCCTTATTCTGAAAATATGAGTAACTATTCTGAAGGAGCATTCAATATATAAGAGCATTAATTGTAAGGTTTCTCTCTCTCCATATATATTCCTGAAACTTGATCAATGTGTTTGCTCTTTTATTTTATTTATATTAATTTATTCCTTCACTTTTAATAATGTAATGAACACTTATGTTTGAGATACTGTGTTCTATCAGATATGGCCTCAGATGTGTTTTCAGGGCTCCAAAGTCAATGACAGCGATCATTGACTTTGAATCCAAATGGTGCCTGTCAATTTTGCAGAGTCTCTCTGTTCCTGGCTCTTCAGTAAAGCTTATAGGTCATGCTCTTTCATGAAGAACCCAAAGTCATCTAGTGGAAGTCATTGGGACAGAAGAACTGTTTCTTTAAAAATAGAACCAGTTTTTAAAATCCAAGTTAAAGGTGAAATTTACTTCAAACAGAAAGAAGATCTGCAGGAAAGCGGTCACTGTGAGTAGGTAGCATTGTGTGTGAATATCAAAAGCAAAGTAAACAGACAAAATACAGAGAACTATGTTGCTCACTGTCTGGCCTTGACTCGGCTCATCTAGTAGTTGGCCCATTAGGACACCTCAGGGGAAGGCACTACCTACTGCTGTGTCAATGACCATAATTACATCAGTTTCCTGGGGTGAGAGACACTCCCACTTTCTCACTATTTAAGAACAGGGAGAGAAAAGGCACTGAGAATTTCTTTTTTTATTTTAATTGTGTAGAGTGGAAATAGTTCAGACGGCCAGAACTCTGGCCGTCTGCATTCATATTTAATAAAGCTTATCTATTTAATCTATATGGGCATGCATTTGTGAGTTGGAAAGTCTGGTATATGACTCAGTACACTTTCAAATATCTATAAATGGAAACTCTGTTTAATCTATTTGTGGCAACACTGGCCTCCTTAGTCGATTACCCAGCAAAATTCTAAGCTACTGAAAATGAAGCTACATCAGCAGGTGGCTAAGGCTGCTCACGGGAGGAGGTTAGTGAGTCTGTATGACACTCATGTCCAAACGTATATTATGTTTATATTACTGTCGTTTGAAACATCTATATCATTTTTTCCCCTTAATTAGTATATATAAGATGAAAAGTAATTATATCATAGTTTAGTTATGAAAATATTCACAAAATATGCAGTTCTATGTGAAGTTTCATTAGAGAATTTCAAAATAAAATAAAATTAGATGGAAAATAATAGGAAAATAATATTAACAGCATATATATTTTAAAGGACCTATAGTATTCTAATGCCTTAGATTCCTCATGCCCCTCAACCTGCACTGGTTGCTATTTCAACAGAGAATCGTATGCTTACCAATGTGGAATAGTGAAGGGGAGAAAGGAGGCGTGTCTGAATATTTCATTTATGAAAGCTTCTGTGTAGGGTAAAATTTTCCTGTCTTCAAATCTGGGTGATCTTAGCCCAATGTTTCCATCTGAAAGAAGAGGTTGTTTTGTTTATTCTAATTTCATTTTAAAAAATGACAATTATAAGAATTATATTTTTTATCTGAAAGCATGTTACCAATTTCTTCTTGAATTTTGGCTTGAATTTCTGGATACTGTATCAAATAAAGAAAGCTCCAATACAGACATGTTGATACAGTTTCAAAGCCTACAAAAGAAATAAGACAAAATGTTATGGAGAAAATTATTAGCTAAATTGGTATCCTAAATTTACATCATATTTGAATACCATGAATCCAGAGAAAAGAATCTAAATATGACTGAAAACTAATAAACTCACAATAAAGTTATTATTATATGTTCAAGTTTGTTTTAGAATATGGGCTTAACCTCTCATCCATTAGCATAGAGACCATCAAAGGAACAGAAAACAGCAAGTGTTGGTGAGGATGTAGAACACTGGAATCCTCATGCACTGCTGGTTGGAAGGTGAAATGGTGTAGTCACTGTGGAAAACAGTATGGCAGGTCCTCAAAAACATTTTTAATTTTAATTTTTTTTATCCTCATTTGAGGATATTTTTGCATTTATCTTCAGATAGAGCAGAAGGGAGAGAGGAAAGAAGAGAGAAAAACACTGACATGAGAGAGACACATTGAGTGGTTGTCACCCGCACAACCCCAAAGGGTCCGGGGACGAACTACAACTGAGGTACATGCCCTTAGTGGGAACTGAACCTGGGACACCCTGGTCCACAGGCCAATGCCCTATCCACTGAGCCAAACCAGCCAGGGCCTCAAAAAAAATTTTAAAGGAATTATCATATGATCCAAGAATTTGTTTATACAAATTCAAAAGAATAGAAAGCAGGATCTCAAATAGATATTTGCACACCCAAGTACAGTACATTGCAGCATTATCCACAATAGCTAAGAGGTAGAAACAATCCACAGGTCCATTGATAAATGCATGGATAAACAAAATGTGCTATATGCAAGCAGCAGGGGGAAAAAAAGAGCAAGCCCTGAATACTGCATGAAAGACACTGATTTTGCCCATTGTAGAGCCATGGGCATTATATCCAAGACCTGGGACTATCTATATATATAACAGGATTCATATTTTTATCATCATAAATTTTGCCTTTTCTCTTAAGACTTAAGCAACATGTTATTTATCTGGGTAGATTATTTAAAAACTGATGTCATAAAAAATGATTTTGGGAGACCCTGACTATATCCAAAGAGGAAATCAAATTGTCTCTATAATCAATTTGAAAAGTCAAATATGGAAATATACATAAGGTTAATAATAATGTAGAATTGATGAAACTGTGTGTTTGCCAATTTTGTTCAGTAAGATATGTGGTTTAGAGGTCAACTGTTCTCTTCTAATAGTCTATTACTATATCACTAGGGAAATCTATGTTCTATTGGTTTTCTTTATTAGTCTTATTTTAATTCAAAATACAAAGTCAATCAGATATATTTGTTGAGCCAATAAATGCATTATATATAATGCGTTATACAGAATGTTCTTTGTTTTGCATGCATTTTTCCAGTGTTTTTAACTGTGTCATGCATATTTGGTGGCACCAATCTACATCCCAGTCATTTATGTCATTTGCCCAAATTTTATATTTGTTAATTTTTTCAGGATCTTGACCATATTATGTATTTCTGAAATACATTATCTTATCAAATCAAGATGAAAATAATGCCCACTTGATGTGTTAATCACACCCACACACCCACAGTCTTTAATATTCAGTGGTGTTCCGGTTTTAAAAAAATGTGCTTACAAATTCTAATAACAATGTTTGGCATCCAATAGTTGGCAGAAGAAATGTGAAGTACAACATGATCACATTTGCATGATAAATAACAAGTGCATCCATCATATTTAAATCATGATCAAAATAATGTGTGTGTGTAGGAGGAGCAGGGGTATTTGTATAGAAAAAACTAATACAAATCAAAACAATTGCCTCCTGTTTGCAAGGAAATTCAGGGACACAGATGCATAGATTCTAGAAAGAAAAAAACAAAACAAAACCCTGCTGCCAATAAATATGGTACAAATAAAAAATAAAAAATGAGTTTGAAGAATATTCTACCTAAAATAAAACTGCTAAAACACCTTTAGTATTTTGGTGTTGCTGTTATACGAAGAGAATTTGCTTCCTGCAGTTCAATATCTTACAGGAACTATAAGAAATTTGTTAGGTAAAAAAGGATGACAAAATATGAAATTTAAGAATGACAGTAGTAAGGTAGCAGTATAGATTGTCTTTCTGAATAAGATTTTGGTAATCTGCATGAAAAACTTAAGAATCCTTTTATTAGCTGATCCAGAAACTCTACTTCTTAGGTTCTAATTCATAAAGGAGGCAAAACTAATGGACATAAACAGTAATTTTAGCATTAGCAAAATATTCAACATCTGCATTATTTGTGCAAGCTGAGAGCTATAAACAATACAGGAGTCTATCCCAGAGATGGGTAAAATGTTGGAGATACATCCATGGAGTATTATGTAACTGACTGAAGCAGCACATGAGAAACACACCAGGCAACCATGATTAGATCTTAAAAACACAAGGCTTCACCAAAAAAGTTAGAAATAGATTGAGATGAACAAGGGTGTTTTCATAAATTAAAGAACATGATTTATAAGAATACATGCTAATACATGACCATGTAAAGCCCATTTTATGATAATACATGAGACAAAAAGCCCACAACGCTTTAAACAGATTAAGAATAAATGTCAGTAGTTTGGAGTGGGAGGTAGAGGTAAAGAGTAATAAACACACAAATAAAGCCAGACACTGCATGAACAATGATGTTAACACACATGAACTGGAGACTAAGATTAACTCAGTTCTCTACTCCTGAGATGAAAATAAAGTTTTCCAAATGATATGGGAAGAAGGCAGAATGTCAAATTGTTTATACAGAGTGAGATAACTACACAAAATGACTGATATTGAAAGAAGGAAATACTCCAAATTGTAAATAGAACACAAAAAAATTGTAATTAATCCTTATTCACCTTACATATTGACAAATACTCTCACATACCAGCTCCAAAGATGTCATTCACAGTGCTTATGATTTCATCATCATTTAAGGTGGCTGTTTTGATAGTGGCATATTTTTTGTGGCACGTATTAATCAGAGCATCGGTAATGTCTCGCATATGGTCCTGAGGAGAAAAATCTTAAAATGATCATTGATCCTGACCTACATTTCTCATCACATATGAATCTCATGCACCATACAATGGAAAATGAATTCAGTTTGCTTAGGAATATAAAGACTATAGATCATTTAAAAATTTGTAACCAAGTTTGCTTGTCAATGGTAATGCTGAATTTTGAAAGTATATAGAATTTTAAAAAGTTACTAAACTCAATTTTCTTCTTAAAATTTCTTTCAATCAAAAAAGTACCTGTCTGGAAGCACAGTTTAAAAAAATTAGGAATTAACTTACTACAGGGAAATTGGTAGGCAGTGAATATAATAAGAGGTTTCCAAACCCAATGTAAGAATTTTATTGTAATCATCATGCAGAAAGAGATGAGTCTGGAGTAGGTTAGGGAGTAGGAAGAAAACGTATGACTTTACAAATTATTTTACTTACTGTATTTGTTCTAAAATTCTGATTGGTACCTTGGCTTGTCAACGGATTGTTGACTCTCTTCTTCTTTTTCATTGTAATGAACTTACCTCCTCACACCTATTTATTTGCTCAATTATCCACCTTTTCATTTTCATTTTTTTCATGATACCATCATCCTGGCAGATTGGCCTCCCAGAGTTGGGGTTCTTTCTAGTACATACATATTTCATGAAAGAAATTTACTCTTCTGTGGACCATCCAATGGGCCAAAAAGATGTGAGTGGCCTCACAAAAAGGCTCACTTCTTTCACCTCAAGAAACTCTACATGTGTTATGATCTCAAAGTTAATTTCTATATGGTAAAGGGATTCAAGTAGAAAAAAAAGGTACATTGGAAGATTCCTATACACTATTCTTTGTAATTATTCAAAACACTTTCTGGAAAAAAATAATGCTGATACTTTTAAGACCTCATAGTTTCAGAGGTAAAATAGAAGAGACGAAATCATTGGTTCATTTCTTTGGGAACTCACCTACGTGGTCATCAGTCTTCAGCCAACAACAGAATCATAATTCAAGTATGTACCTTATCTACACACTGGGGAGATTTCTGAGGTTTCAAAAAATTCAAATCTCTTCTTAAGGTCCCTTCATGAGAACTAAACCATACTGCCCTATAATCTCACTGACTGGAACTCATATTTCCTAATAGGTTGGCTAAGGGTCATTATGGCAACATTATAGTGAAAAGAACCAAGAATACATACAATTTTTAGTACACAACACATCTCATCACTATTTGTTGCTTCTTAGAAAATCCCTGTCGTGGCATGAATTTAAATTCTTACCTTATCATACGTAGCAAGATGATCTTGTACATGTAGAGCAATAAACTGATTCAGGGCCTGATAAAACTCTCGAGGAGCATTTACAATGCGCAGTGGAAGGTAACGAAAACATGGTATGAAATCAGCAGGATTCGCTGCACTGGAGGCCTTGAGTAAATCATCATTCGTTTTCACTATCCTAAGAAACTCCTCGTCACTGTGGTCATATCTCTTGCCAAAGCAAAGGGCACAGACAACATTGGCCACTGCACAGGTGATGGCACTTCTGGGGTCAAAGCTACCATTCTTGGAAGTCAACTCTTCAAAGACATTTGCCAGCTCAGAAATTTCCTCAATGACATGTTCCTCGAGCAAGCAAGAGCAGGTGGAGGATTTTGCTTCTGATTTCGAAAAAGTTCGTAAAGCATTGGAGGCTATTTTCTTATGAAGCTTCCAACTCTCTCCGTAATTGACTGAAAATGAAAGACTCTTTCCTTCTGCCAGGAAAGAAAATGTGTGCATGTTAGGTCTGCCTGCAAAATGCTCTCCATCCTTGAGCAGTACTTGCTTCACCACTTCCATTCCGTTCACCACCACAACAGGCACCATGCCAAGTTTGATGAGAAAGACATCTCCATATTTTTTCCTCATCTCGATGAATGTAAGGTAAGGATGGTCTCCAAGGTTCAGAAGATTTCCTATGATGGGGAAGGACCATGGGCCAGGAGGAGACACCTGCTTTCTTCCCTTACTCCCAAGTGCTCTCACAAAAACAAAAACCACCACCAAAATTATGAGAGAAATGGTCACCTCTTCAGGAGTGATTGCCATGTCAAATATCATTTTCAAAAATAAAGCACCTAAAATAGAAAAAGTATAAACCTTATTTTTGCCTTTGTAAGCACAGACTAAGAGTCTTCATCCCTTTAAATATTTAAATTAAAAAGTACAGACACTTTGCCCTGGACAGTTTGCTCAGTGGTTAGAGCATCGGCCTGTGGACCAATGAGTCTCGGGTTCAATTCCGGTCAAGGGCACGTACCTCGGTTGTGAATTGTCCCCAGCCCTGGTTGGGGTTGTTCAGGAGGCAACCACTCGATGTGTCCCTTTCATGTCAATGGTTTTCTCTCTCTCTCTCTCTCTCTCTTCCTCTCTTTTCCTCCCATTCTATCTGAACAAAAATGGAAAAATATCCTCGAGTGAGGATTAAAAAAAAAGAAGAAACAAAGTATAGATGCTTTGTAGTTATTTGAAAACTATTCTTTTTGTTGTTGTTGTTGTTAATCCTCACCCGAGGATATTTTTCCATTGATTTTTAGAGAGACTAGAGAGGAAGGAGGGAGGAAAGTAGAGATAAAAGAGAAAGAGAGAGAGAGAAAAACCTCGATGTGAGAGAGACATGTCGATTGCCCTGGAAAAGGCAGGGACTGAACCTGCAACCTAGGTATGTGCCCTTAACCAGCAATCAAACCCGTGACCCTTTGGTGCTCAGGCTGACACTATAAACATTGAGCCATACTGACCAGTGCTGAAAACTATTATTAACTAATGTACCAAGAGGGCAAAAATAAAATTCTTATAAAATGCATTATACCTTTATTTCAATTCTATTATTTTTATAATTCTAAACACCAGACCAAGTCTTTTCATGTCAGTCGCTGACATGATAGACAGAAGAAGAGGACAATGTGATGTAGGAAGCACCCTGGTGGTTGGGAGGGGTCGAGGCTATAGAAGCTGACTGCATACTCATCATTAGCTGAGGATCTCCATCCTTCACTTAATGAAGTCTGTCCCAGTTTTCTTATCAAAGTATCCTACCTAACAGGATTAGTCGTGCATTCTTTCAACAAATATTTATTGACCCTACCTCCCCCCATGTCAGGTACTAAAAATACAAAATTTCACAGACTAATGAGGAAACTAGGTAAACAAAAACAAGATGACAAAGTGTAAAATGCTACAGAGAGTTGAGTGCAGAGTTGTCTGTCATTGTTTGAGGGTCAAATAAAATAATTAAAATGTCTTTAGTGAGTTACAGCCATTTAGTGGATATTGAATTGGTTGCCTGCCTCGCCTATCTTTGGACTTCCCAGCTAGCTTGTAAGGGTGACCTGTTGGAACTGTCCTGCTCCAGAACTTGCCCTTGTAGCCACGAGTGGTTGATCCAAGAATGGGCCACTGACCCAAAATGAACCTTTTTTCGGAATACGGATTTGGGATCGTGAAAGATCATCCTCTCTTTGGGCAGCTATATCTACAAAATCTAAGTCTGAAGATATGATTTGGTGACCTTTAACCCATCAGGAAGACATGAGAAACTGTAAAAGCAGGTCTGAAAAATAGATGGAGTAGAAAGAAAAAGAAATAATAAACCAAGGGAGGTCTCATGACCTTGCAGTCACAACTTCTAGTACCTTCATGAGATCTTGTCCTTGGATTGAATTCTTTCCTGCTTAAAATAGCTATAATTTGTTTTTATTACTTGCATCAAAGAGGGTCCTAACCTCCCCGCTGCAAAAGTTCCTACACATGCAAAATATATTTATTAGTCATTGAATTTTATAGTAACTATAGAGGGAATAAAAAACTTCCCCTTAAAAGCATACATAACTAAACTGTTCACATTTCTCAAAGTATTTACAGGACAAATAACATTGGTAGACAATATACTCGTTGACCAGTATAAATGTCTGGTTCTCACTTGATTTCTTCTAGACATTTTAAATTTGGAGGGCAGTCAGGGTGATTGGATAAAGAAGTTGAAGGGATTAGCTGGAGCACAGACAATAGTGTGGTGAAGGCCCAGGGAGTGGGAGGTGGGAGTAGGTGGAGGTGGGCAAAGAGGAAGGGAAATGGAGGAAGTCTGCAATAATGTCAACTTTAAAAACTTTTAATAAAAAAAAAAAAGTTGCAAGCAAACCATTGTCCCTTGTCTTATCTGATTGCTTCGCTTTTCCAAGTTCACAGATGAAATGTGTCTAACTATACACCAACTTGTTTGGCACTGATTACTCAAAAGTGAACTCTGGAGTTAAAGGTGAGAGATCAACTTCTTTTTATGGAAACAGTCCTGAATACACATTTCAACTAAAAAGAAAAACTGCGTCTCTAATCAATGCAACATTTCAACTAAAAAGCAAAACTGAGTCCTGTGCAACAGCTACACTTTGCAAAATTTCATTTTCTCTCTGTTCAGAAAGGAAACAGTGGGGGCTCTATTGTGTTTCTGCTTTGCAGGAGCTGATTTTGCAAAACATCTTCCATTAAAAATAACTATGACCATGGTTCACACACTTACCATGTGTCAGACCCAGAACTAAGCATTAAATCTGCACTCTCTCATACTTCTGTGAGAGTTATGGAGAAGCTTAGAGAGACACAGTCATTTTCCCCATTGATTTTAATTTCTCTTGCGCATTCACCAAACTGCCAGTTTGCACATTGGGAATTATCGGAAGCATCTCCGAAGAGACTGCTAAAGAGGTGAGAGTGGGCGTGCCTGGGAGAACTGAGCTCTCCTAAAGATGACTGGGTTTCTTGCCTCCCTCAGCCCGTTACACTGCGGGACTTTGGTTAAATTACATCTCCCTTGGCCTCATCTGTAAAATGACCACTTCAAGCTGGAAGACCTCGAAGGCCAGCTGCAGTCCTCAGTCACCCAAGCTAGCAGGGAAACGGGGCAGACGCACTAGTGTGAGTACAGGGTTAATTGCCCAGCAATATTATGTTGCCAGAGTTTCCAGGCAGCTTACAATTCATCAACAAATGTAAGTAACTGTGATCACCCTGGATTCTTTTTCAGCCTGGGCTCTTCTAGCTCCTTTTATTAAAATCTCTTTGGCAGCTTATCAGGCCCAGATGCTTTGCCAACTTTCCCAGCCACTTTCTTGGAAAGCTCTGAAGGCACATTCTGTTCCTGTTGTTTGGGGGTTGAATTAGGGCTAAGAACAGGGAGTAAGAGGCTCCCTAAGGGTGGGCTGCCCCATTGTCGATGATTTAAAGGGAACTCCAGAGATGAGCCAGGTAAGAAGAGCATAGGTAGGTAGCGAGAGTTTGTACCGATCTTGAAATCTAGACACACACTTCAGACCTCCCCTGAAGCTGTTAAACCACTGCACTGTTCACATCCCACACAGACCAATTAAATTAAAATCTCTAGGGGTGGATGCATTTTTAAAAGCTCCACAATATGACCAAGGGGCATTCCAAGTTGAGGACAATTTTTGGAGAAACAACAACCTGCTATGAGATCAACAAATCCATTCAGCCAGATTACAGTGAAGCTTGGAAGGCTCACCTGTGCCCAGAGATCTTGCAGGTCAGTGTGATGAATCTGGCAGGAGAATCTAACCACGGAGACAGTTTTGGGGAAAAGCTGCCGGTATCCTAGAAAGAACAGTCTGGTCTGGGCAGCAGCAGCAGGCCTTGGGAAAGGCTGGGAGAGAACATTCTGGGAAGAGACCGTGAGGGGAGGACCTTGGACCCATGTGGGGAGGAGTTTGGAACTGGATGAGGACATTTAGGAGCTGCAGGGAGGGATGGAGAAGCCTCTGTCTCCAGAATCGGACCCAGGAAGCTGTGAGATTCCAGAGGGAGCAGCGGGGGAGGGACATGTGTGGAGCAAGGGGTTCTGAAAAAGAGGATACAAGGAACCTGAACTTGGAAAAAAGTAGGGCGGGGGAGGGCAGCTAGGAAGACTAATCATTTTTAAATTGCTGGTGACAAACAGAGGTAAGGTCAAAAGATCTGCAAGGAAGCAGTGAGCAGAGTGGAAAAAGACAGCGGAGCAGGGGCAGGGAGTGCTTTGCAGCGAGTTTCAGGAAACCAGGCAAATAAGGGCACCCTAGGTGAGGAAAGGTAAAGGGAGATGGGTGAACTTAAAAATCTAGGAACAAAGATTCCCTTTCTCAGGGGGATTTGGTAGATTCCTCAGGAGTCTTCACCATCTGGATTTGTATTTCCACAACTAGAACAGTCAAATTCTGAATATGATATTCATAGTGGTTTTGTATGTGTGTGGGGGGGTGTGTGTTTATCCTCACTGGAGGACATTTTTCCTCTTTTGTTCAGATAGAGTGGGAGGGAGAGAGAGAAACATCGACGTGAAAGGGACACATTGAGTGGCCGCCTCCCCCACGACCCCAGACAGGGCCAGGACGAATCGCAACTGAGGATGTGCCCTTGACTGAATCAAACCCGCGACTCTTTGGTCTGCGGGCTCACACTCTAACCGCTGAGCCTAATCCGCCAGGACGATATTCATAGTTTTGACTTGAGAATATATTCTTATTTTTCCTAGGGAAATTACTTATGGGTTAGGGATATCTTCCTGTCAACATGTGTGCAACTAATTATATAACAAACTTTTTTAACAAAGCTTTGGAGGCCTTGGCCCTCTAAATATTTGAGGTTTCAAGGTCAGCTTTTAATGAGAATGCCCAAGAATGATCATTGTTATAGTCAGTATGTTCTCACATAGGAAAGAAAGCAAGCCCCCACATTGCATGCTAAATCTAATGTATTTCTTCAAGGGTAAACTTCAGGTCCTGAGCTACAGTGTAATATTCACAAGATATCTTGATTTCTTAATATCTAAAGTCTAAAAAGTCAATGAGACTTGGGTTGCTCTGAAGAGTTTTGAATCAATCAATGTATACCACATTAACAGAACGAAGAGATAAAAACCACAAGATTATCTCAACTGATACATAAGAAACATTTGACAAAATTCACCACTTTATTTAAGAAACACTCAACAAACTAGGAATAGAAAAGAACTACCTCAACATAATGGAATCCATATGTGAAAAACCCACAGCTAACATCACACTCAGTGGTGGAGGATT